ATAATTTACGTCAACAATATATTTGTTAATTCCTCTTAAAACATAATAGAGAATAACCGTCCCTCCGGAGATTTTTTTATACGTTTTTCGATTCGTATAATTTATTCCGGAGAAAAGTGATGGCAGGGGGGGGGTTGTCGGGGTACGATATTATAATTTTAAACAACAATAAAAAAAAAAAAAAACAGTCTTCTTAAATTGTGTGCGAACAAACGGTAATAATTTTATCACGAAAATAAGCACAAATCGACGGCGCTTATAATATTACACGACTGTGCACCCACCAGTGTTTTTACCTTCGCCTTCGTTATTAATAATTTATTATTCCGTATAATGCATTTGTCAAACACGGGGGTCGTCTCCGGCGCGTGCATAAATATCGCAATATAATATCGTTTCTAAGTATGATATTTACGGGTGCAGAAAAAAAAAGAAAAAGAAATAAAACCTCGTGCAATTCGATTCAGCGTGCCGGAAAGAAAAAAAAGCGTCGTCGCTGTACCGTTGTGTAAGTGTATCAACAGACTCGCGCGTTTTGTTATTCAAATTCGGAACGGCCGCCGTGGAGTCGGGACTGTCGGTTTTTTTTTTTTCTTATACATATTATTATGCAACCGTCTGTTGATTTTCGCGTGTAAATCAAAAGCTCGCGCCCTCAATTCACGGAAAAAAAAAAAACAAAAACAAAAATAGCGCATAAAAAAAAAACTAAAGATCGTCGGTCGTATAACGAAAGTTGCGCCGTCGAAATTTCTTACGGGTACTCTCTGCGCCCAGTATCACGTAGTAAAAAAAGTTTTTTAAAATACCCATACGAATGTCAAAACTTTTCAAATTAAATTTTATTCATCGGATCAAATACAGCTTATTAATTTAATACATTAGGTACATAAATATGCACTTTGCGCGGTTTCTTTTTTTTTTTTTTGGTAAGCTATGGAACGAAGTATAGTTATAGTCTAGAAAAATATAGCATAGTTTTTTCTTGAAGTTTTCCGAAAATATAGCTATTTTCTTAACGTATAGTAACCGAATCGATAAATTTATACGTCGGTTTTTTTCGATATTTTAATTCTTAAGCGAGAAAAGATGATTTTAAAATTGTAATATTTTACTTATTTATTAATAAATAAATAAATTAGTTATTAGTAGTATTCTACTTATTAACTGCTTTGAAAACTAAAATATCGAAAAAAGCTAACGTACAATTATTATGGCCGATGTTCTTATCTTTAGATTTAATAATAAACAATTACACCCTTATGTTAAAATTAACAGCATACTTTTTATATATAAAAAAGCTGTCTTAGAATAATAAGTCTTGTAAAGTACTTGAGTAAAAGTATTCAGATACTTTTTAAGTACTCAAATACGTATTTTAAATACGATTGAAAAATTGTTTGGGTACAGTATTCGAATACTTTTATGAAAGTATCTGTATTTAAAATCAAATACTTTTTTCATCTTACTTGATGCACAGAAACGCAAATTTAAAAAAAAAAATTCAAATTTTACAACAATTTTATTTTAGGCCGTTGCGTTTTGCGTATTAGTATATTATAATAATATTGGAAATATTTTTACTTAAATTACATTTTTGAACAAAAAAAAAAATCTGAGTATTTGAAATTATCTATAAATACAAGACTGGATAATGGGCAGGACGCAGTCACTGTTATAGATAATTTAATGTATGTAAATCCGCAAGCAACGGTTAACCATTGCTAACGAAAAAAACGATTCTGAGCGGAGTTCAGCCAATAGAGTTGATTTGTCAACAATATAATAAATGTCATCTAATGGGAAAATAATTACTTATGCATTAAACATGTTCATTAAAAATATTTGTTTAATGGTATGCCTGTTCTCTCGTTCTTCCGGGTTTTCCCGTATTTGGAGGAAACTCCTGAGAAAATTAATAAATTTCCTCTCTAAAGTACCTTCCCGGTCAGATTTTCTTTTAGAAACAGCGCTATCGTTGTAAATCGGAGCGAAACTGCTGGTGTAAAAGTCGTTCGCACGATAAAATGAAAACAATTTAAAAAAAAAAAAACATCGTTGTAAAACCGTAAGCTCCTCTCTCGGAATCTAAACGTATATAAACATAACAATAACGTTCACCGATTTCATTGCGTTCGTCGTAACATTTTCGGTTTCCGCGTACGGCCGGCTGCGCTGTTGCGACAGCGCGGCAATACTGTCCTTTTTCATTTGACGTCCTCGTGAAAAGAGAGAGACAGACAGACACAGAGAGAGAGAGAGAGACAGAGAGAGAGAGAGACAGAGAGAGAGAGAGACAGAGATAGAGAGAAAGAAAGAGATAGAGTCGGAGACGGCTAGAGACGGAGGCAAATTGGGAGTAACGCGCGCACGCGAGTAGAATAATTCTAAATCCTCTTAACGCACACGCACGCAGATTATATTATACACTCGGCCGTAACCGCGCGTGCTAATATCTCCCGGCGGCGAGTGTAGCGGTGTGCGGCGGGGGGAGAGCACCTCGACGGCTTAAAACGTTATTACCGGTAATCGGTTCGGACACGCACACGCGCGCGCGCTCGTATAGGTACGTTCCGCCGTGTACGCGATGACGGCATGCGGTGAAATAAGATATCCGTTCCGGGCCGGGGGATAATTTCGGGTCACGTAATTAAGATTACGTTACGTCTGAAAATTTTATCGGCCGCGTCATAACCCCGCGTACGCGCGCGAGATGCGGTATTATGTTATTACACCGCGGCCGCGGTCGCGGGCCGTACGCGCGGCGAAACCCTCCCCCGCGGATCCCGCGTACAATGACCGCGCGCGCGCGCGCGCCCCGACGTAATCGCATAATAACGATACGGACCGACCCCGTGCGCGGACTGCGGCGGAATCGCGTACACGTATGCGCGTGCGACACGCGCACAGGTTCGCGGGTGGGGCGGGAAGGACGGCAAGACGTTAATCCGACGTCTGCGAACGGCTTATTTTACGCTCCGTTATTGGGTGACGGTACCCCGCGTGCGCCGCCGGCCGCACGGTAATTACCGAAAAGTCGTCGCCGCGTCTCGGCGGGCTTAACGGCCGCGCGTACGCGAAGAAGCCAGACCGCCTTTCGATTTCGAATCGTCCGGCGGATAGCGCGCCGGCCGGCGTTCGGACCGCCCGTCATCGTCCCGTTTTGTCGCGTCGCGGCCGACCCGCCACCGGTCGACGGGGTGGCGATCGGGTAATTGGACCCCGTCGCGTACACCGCGCGCGGTGTGAACATGGCGTTAGGCTTCTCGATATTATTGCCCGCGACGTTATTATTTATGTAGTTACGTTTCGGTGATATTTCTCTTTATTTTCCCGACTTTTCGCCCCGTTATTTTATTCGCGGAGCCCTGCAAGTTTCACTGTACTCGACCTTTATGAAAAAAAAAAAAAAAAATGAATAAATATAATCGTTCGTCGATCTTGCAAATCACAGTAATATACACCGACGGCCGTGACACGTTTCAATTTCCACGTTTAAAACAATAATAATTAAAAATTGCTTACTTTTGTTTTTTTTTTTGTTGCCTTTTTCAGAACGCGACGCATTGCGGTTTACCAACCGATCTTGCCGCTGATTGGTTAAAACTGAATGCTCAATATGTTATTAGTGTGAAATCTCCCCGATAAACTGTACCCCGCGAAACACTAGTCTCGGGAAATCCGTACGGTTTTCAAGTTTCTGCATAATATTGCGGAGCGGGCGGACCTGCGCCGCCTTGAAGCTGATCCCAATTATCATTGTATAATATAATACGCGATTTTCACGCACGAATTCACAAGTCGAAAACACCATCAGTCAATTCTGACTACGCGAAAAGAGTAACACAAAAAACGCCTTGAGTTTCTATTGTCATACTATAATATGTAAGTATGGAGGTATAATGCGCGCGATAACCTTTCGCGTTCCGCGCAGTCAGCCGGTGAATATCGTTGGCACTTCACGAGATTTCTGGCTGATGAAAAGAAACGGAGTTCAGACGTCTGGAAAATACTATTAATCGCATCACCGACTATCACCGCCACCGAATCCCCCCCACGAACCGGTTTAATTCAGCTGTTTGCCATTATCAATGAATGCAATAATAATAATAATAATAATACCTAGTAATAATGCGTGAGACCTGCAGCCTACCCAGTGATAAATGCGAAACACAATCAAAAAGTTCGAAAGGGCACCGTCGTCGTCGTCTTGTACAAAGGGAGGGCGGCGGAATGTTTTAAAAGTGCTGATGCCGCCATTTCATTAAGTGGCTGGTGTGTTCCGTTTCCTACCGAAACAATAATAAACCAGAATTTTTCGACAATTTACAGCAGTATACGAAAAATAGATGAATTACTTTTGGGGCCAGCCGCGTATCTGAATCGTGCACATATCAAAATCAAGATCGTGTCATCTGCAAATAATGATGTCGTTACGTTTTGAGTTTTACAGAGGTCACTAATATAGAGTGAATATAACAGTGGTGGTAGACAGGATCCCCGAGGAACGTATTCTGCTATATTTCTGGATGATGACGATATGTCCTGTATCTTGATTTGGGAAGCCTCGGTCTACGAGGAATGATTGTATGAGTTTTATTAGATGCTTGGATATATCTGTTAGGGTGCGAAGTTTGTGAATTAGACCGCTGTGCCGGACCCCGTCAAAAGTCTTTTCCATATCTAAGATAAGGCTACAGTATGTCTTTTGTGGTTCATGCTTGTGACCAGGTCGTCTGTCAACTTGACAAGTCGGTTGGTAATGGAGTACCCATGTCTGAATGTATGCTGTTCATCCCGTAGTTTATGTATGTCTGTAGACGTAGAAGGAGTATACGTTCGAAGACTTTGGACACGGTAGTCGGTAGAAAGATTGGTCGTTGTTGTTTGGAACGCTGTGGTCTTTGAATAGTTTCGGGATCATTACTATTGCTGCATTTTTTCAGACCTTCGGGAAGTAGGATAGTCTTAGGCATGCTGTGAAGGTGTTGTTGAGCAAGATGATGGCCAGTGGAGGCAGGCGTTTGAGAGCAGTGTTCGGTATATTGTCAGTCCTTGGGGCCTTAGCTGATCGTAGGTGCTTAACAGTTTCCCAGATTTCCTTAGGTGCAGTGAATTGGTTCGGGCGGGTTTTTATTGGTTCGAGTTGTTTTAATGGTTCTGTAATCTCTTGTAATTCTACACCTCGGTTTTCGATGAATTGATCTTCCGTTGTGTTTGCAAAGAGTTCAATTTTAGGGCTAAGGTAATAGATTTTTTTTTTCGGATGGATTCTTGAGCGGTTGGTTTGCCGGGGCTTTTCGGAGTAGTCTCATCGATTTAGTATGTAAAGCGAACGATTGTTGAAATTGAGAATACTACTTTTGAAAGCCGTTTTAAATCCCGTTCGGATTTACGGTGAAGTACAAAAGTACAGGTATTGTCAAACAAAGAGTATAACGCGTACACATGTTAACTATTTAACCGTAATATGACAAAGCTACACTATCGACCGAACTCTGCTCAGTGCCGTCTTTTCGCTAGCGGCGTTTGACCGTTTGCGTACGCGCATACATGCGCGCATCGGATTTTCCCGGCCTTATTATTATAATTGTTATGACGCGAGTTGTGCACGAGAACGATAGATTCGCTATTCGGCCGCGTTCGGGTGTGAGATGCGTACCGTCTCGGACGGCGAATCCGCGGAAAATTGCGGGAGACGACCACTATGCCGCGTATGTGCGCGTATAGTGTGCGGTACGGAATATGCATACACATGTGTAATCGACGTTGTCCCGGAGACGCGGGTGTCGCGACGGCGCGCGATCGGGAATCGGATGCGACGGATTTCGCCGCGGCATTACGCTCGGGCTCCGCCGTCGCATTATCATCGACGTTATTATCATTATTTTTGTGATTGGCGCGCATTATCGCGGACGCGCGCCCGCGAAAACCTCTCGCGCGCTTAATTGGATCCGCGGCGCGCGCGACGAGCGAGGAGCGAAGAGGAGAAAAAAGCGCGCGACGGCGGCCGCGGCGGCCGGTCCTCCTGGGAAATATTCCGAGCGATGCCGCGGTCTCGGGTTGCGCGTGTACGGCGGCGCGTGCGCGGACGGGATGAAAAATAAATGAACAAGAGACGTATATACATACAGACGCGAAATAATCAACCTTCCTCCCGTCGTCGTAAAAAGCTCTATCAAAAAAAAAAAAAAAAAAAAACCGAAAAAATTTCCCGACCGACTAATTTCTTCCCGGCGTGCGCTGCGAGTTTATATGCATATATATGTATACACGGTGTTCACCTCTGCCCAACACCACTTCACCCGCATCAAACCGTTTCTTTTTTTTTTTTTTTAATTTTATATACGTATACGCAGCGCGCGCATATAGGTATATAGAGACACCGATCTCGTCAAACATCTTGCGTCGGATAAGGGGAGGGGAACGGTTTTTTTTTTTTTTTATTTTACATTATCCCGTCCTCGGAATTAAACGAAATTTGATCATTGGATTCTTTTTCCCTGCGTTTTTTTCGCTCCGACCCCCGGGAAAGGTTAGCCGATTTCCCGTAATTTCCAACGCCCGTCGGGCGGCGGTTTTCGGGCTCTACAAAAACGGAACAATTTTACGTCTCTTTGATGTGCGTATGGACACATTTTCTGAAAGTAAATCTGACTGGGACGGTACCTTATGCGGGTCATTTTACGATTTCCCCAGCAGTTTTCTAAATAATTAGAAAAAAAAAACAGGAAATTATGTTTTCGGTTATTTATCCTTGTTATTATAAAAATACAAAATAACATTTTTCGTATTATTCGATTGATAATTTAAATACTTCAATAATTAATTATGCAAACTAATAATACAATTCGACTGGCAACATTCGAACAAGGTAGGGAAAAAATCGCCTATAAATGTGAATGGAAACGACCAATAGAACAAACGACAAAGGTAAGTGATCAGTTGTGTTCATTTATTACGATCGATATTTTAATTTTATATACATACTGAAGTATCTAATTGTTTAAATTTTAGATATTTAACTACTGGATTTCACATTCGTCTTCAATGCGAATACAACAATACAAATCAACGTCAGTACCAATGTAAAACCTTAACAAGGCAAGAGGTAAGACGAGCTCATCAAATGTTCTATGGAGTACCGGATAAAATCAAGCAAGACGAAATAATTTTGAGGTTCGTTATTGTAAGTTCTGTACACAGAAAATTTTCACGTAAGGACTTGTTTAAAAATCAGGTAGCTATAAAATATGTTATGCCTAAACTTAATGGAGATTATAGTCGTGCAAATGTGTTAGTCTGCAAAAAAGCATTCACAGATATTTTTGTTATTTCTAAAAAAAAGAGTAAATCCCATATGTAAAAAATATTTTATATCTGGTCAATCTCCGAAAGAAAACCGAGGTGAAAATACAGTGGCACTGAAATATGAAACTCAAAGAAAAATGGTGAAGATATTTATATTAAAACTGAAACCTATAGTCCCATTACTGTTATGAAAAAAATATCACTCGGTAGCATTTGCCCAGTGAAATGTCAATTTATTCTTTGTTTAAAGTATTTAATGATTCTACACCGGAACAAGACGTGAAGTATGAATTTTTTGTAAGGATTTCAACATAGGATTCGGGTCTTCGCTTGTCATCATCTCCGAAAAAGTTGGTACAGTTATCCGTGTTCCTTCTCTAGATAACTTTAAAGACGTACATGATTGGAAGTCATCGTATCAAAAACACTCTAAATTGACATTTTAAACTCGCACTTGTTAAACGAATAATATTGTCAAAATTCAAATAAAATAATATTTTAATAAGTGGAGAGCCAAATCATTCTTTAAATATTGTTCAGGAAAAAAGCTTATTGAAACGTGGAAAATCTATAAACTCAATGAAGCCTAAATTTAAGTGTTCAAGTAAATATAGCAAAATAGACTGACGTAGATAATTTACTTAAGAAACATTTTGACAATGATTAAATAAATGTACTATAAGACTGTTATTAAAGATGACGAACAAAATAATGAGCAAGAAAATTAATCAGATTTCGTAGATATAAATGAAGAGGGAGCAAAATTTTCTTAAAAAAAAATTGTTATTTTGGTTGTCAAATTATCTTGTAATTATGTTTTTAAGATAAAAAAAAGTTTAAAAGTTTAATTTTATATTGTTAGTTTTTTAATTTCAAAAAGTTTATGTTGTTGTGAATTATTATTTTTCCAAGTTATAAAAAGTTAAAAAGTTATTTTAGTTACATAAGACAACTTTTAAAAGTTGATAATAAAGTTCAGAAGTTATTTTATATTAGATTTTTTAATTTCTAAAGAGCTTATGTTATTTTTCCAAGTTGTTTAAGTTTGAACTTACAATAGTTAAAAATTATCAAGTTCAAAATTACGTTTATTTATTTTAAAAGTGAGTAAGTAAATCTATATTTTAGTTGCAAAAAGGAGTATGTACAAATTTAAAATTTTCTTTTATTTGAAACCATTTATCTACGATTTCTATAGTCCACAGAAAATTAAAATTCATTATATGTATGTATTTGTTGAAAACAAATCGGTGAGTTTTTTGAATCATTAAAAAAATAACAGTTTTTTGCTTGTACCGAAAAATTTCTTTGTTTGTACGTAAGACCTTTTGCAATTGGGTGACTCAATTGTCCTTAGAGTTTTCAAACAACTCCGCCCTATCCCTTATGCATTATGACTACATCGTAGTGATATAATAGATTAATGATTGATAAAAATTATATTGATAAAACGGAAGTTGAAAAAATTAAATACCTATGCTAATATAAAAAATAATTCACTATCTTTAGGTACTAACCAAATGTGTTTTTAGAACTGTCCATTTCAATTTAGTATTACCCATATTGTTTAGAATTACCCTTTAGCGAAAGCTGTGCAATGGAGAAGACATTTATGTAGAGAAAAATTAAATTTTTATCTGTACTAGAAAAAAATTAATCAATTTGATCACTTTTCGAAATTTTCAAGTAGCCGATTTTCAAACGATATTCAGGTAATAAAAATTGCAACGCACCATACATACATAATAGATGGATAGTTTCTTAGCTGTTTTAATTTCCAGAAAACTTCAAGAGGTAATTTCAAAAGTTAACTCCCAAACCCCCCCCCCCCCAAAAAAAAAGGGTATCTAAAAATTTCAAACCCACATATAAATTTATATTACACTATTTAATGAAAATTTTTCATCATACAATATTCCCTATTTTATATATTTATTGGAGAAAGTCGCTGTAACATAAAATTCTGTACACACTTTATATACTTCTTATATATATATATAAGAATAATATTTTTGTTTTGACAAAAATAATTTTCGTGACAATTCGGACAAGCAGGTGCCCCCATTGAGAAACAATAACACACGCGACTGTACGGCATGTGCAGCTGACTGTTTTTATGGTCGTCGAAAGACAGGAGGAGAAAAATAACCATTACACGTGATTTTTTGACAGTCTTTTGTTAAGGTCCGCATACACTCGTCTTGAACAACACGACTGCTGGCAGTTTCCCGTGTGCTGTCGTGTATCCACTTTTGTTTCTGTCATTATTTTGACGACGATAAAATTATATAGTATTCACACCAGTCGTGGCACGGTTGAATTCGAAAATTCGAGGTTTTTAATAAGAATGCCTGTTTTTTTTTTCTTCTTTACTTACTCCAGCTGTGCTCCGTACGAACATACGTAATGGATACAACTGAATACAACACAGTAAAATGAATACTATATGCATTGTCTACGCAATTTTTTATCAACATCTTATTATCATTATATTATAACTATAGCTGAGATATAAATGTAAATACATATTTTTAATATAACTCGATAACTTAATTTAGGCAAGAGCTAAGTTCGTTTCAAATTATTTCAGTTGCGTATTTGAGGGGGGGAGGCTTTAGGGGTGATCGCCCTCTCAATTAATTCGTGTAGATATTTGCTATATAAATATATAAAAAAATGTAATATTGCTAGAAAAGTGTCTTCAGACACAAAAATAAAACACTTCATGGTCAAATAAATAGATTAGAATAGGTATAAGCATGTGTGTAATAATTTTAGTGTTGACTCCCCCATCCCCCCTATAATACTAAGTCAAATACGCCATTGAATTATTTCTAATAAACTAAATCATAATATTGATATTATATATTTATACATATTTCGCCGTAAGAAAAATGTTTTTTAATAGTTCTAGTCTATGATTCATACTTAGACAAGTTTGTTAACTAAGACAAACTTATCGTAATTTCGTGTTTCCACAAAGTGCGCGTGCATAATAATAGCGTTCACTAAATCTAATCGAATACGTGTCGATACGGGTAAGGTGATAGAGTTTTATGACCCACACAATCTCAATGAAATTATCCGCGATAATGATATGTTCAAACCGCATTCGGTGTACTGACAGCGAGTCTGAGAGCTAACGAGCGTGTTGTTTTGTTTAGCGCAGTATTCGCAGCAAGTATCGTGTGCAGACATGCAGTTTTAAATCACGCCGAAAGTACGAGTATCTAATAGTAGTAGAAAAACTAACGAGTATTTATACGAATTTCCGGACGAAAATTTTTAAAACGATGCTGATGTTATTGTATTACGCGTAAATCCGTTAAAATTGAACAACATTTTTTAGTATTACGAGTATAACATATTATGTATAGGGACCAGCAAAGACGAAGAGAATAGAATAAGAAAGCAAAAATTCAAACGGCAGTGTTTGACTCCGGTCACTTCTTTGGGTTCTACAAAATCGTCATTTCATTTCGATCTTTACCATGCGGATTCACTTTTAATCATGACGATCATTGGCGTGTTTACGCGTGTGGTAAGTAAAAAAGTTGTTAAGTTAAAAAGTTAAAAAGTTGTACCTATTAAATTTATTGAAGTCGAGTGTTCATTTTCGGTACAAATCTTTATTACGGTCAAATCGTAAAGCATTTAATTACGAACATTTGAGTATGCTCAATATATTTGGTATCTCGTTTCAATCAAAGTCTATAATAAATGTTAGATCATTAAATAATGTATTTGTTTTGTATAAACTTTCACATTTTCGTTTTTTTTTTTTTTTTTAAACAGGTACATATACATATTTTGGTTATTTTAAGTAACTATACATATATTTCTGAGCCCTAATTATAATACACTTATTGGCCCTAATGTCGGTACATAATTGAGTTTCACCGCGGGTAGGCTACTGTAATAGTCGGAGAGAACCCAAATTTTCTTATTAATGACGGTGCAAAGACTTGAGGGTGAGGCCCGAACCGTTGTACGTCTTATTGCAAGCTTTGCTATAGAGAACAATGCAAAATTAGATTTCCCTGTCACCCTATTCAGTCGGAGGTATTCCAGCGGGGGTTCGGAAAAAGAAGCAAGTGCAAAAATATCAACGGAAAAAAGCAGAAAGTGGTAAAAAAATAAATATATATGTTTAAAATATTATAATATACAAAGTATTATTATTGATTAGTTCTACATAATATTATATAGTGACATATAATAGGTAGTAGGTACCTACACTATATTTCGATACCATTGACTATACTATATTACGTACAATGATAATATTTTAAATGTTTTCCCGAAAATAATTATCGGAGCGAGTTATCGAAATCTGCAGTTCATAATCGAAAGTAACAAAAATGACTACCATTATAGTGTAAATAAAAAATGTGTAAAAATCAACTTAAAATAAACATGCTATAGCATAGAATTGAAAAAATAAATTATCTAAATATTTGTGTCCAAAAATAAGAATAGACGGAAAAAAGAAATTCGGATTTATACGAGTATGATTTATAATTTATAATTGTTTATTTTTAAAAATCAATAGGTAGGTATATTATATTATTATTACAATATGCGTAAATACAATATAATAAAACATTTTTTATTAAAATAAAAAAAAAAAAATTGCAGATTTCAATAACTCTCTCCGATAGTTATTTTCGTGAAAACGTCTAAAATATTATCATTGACTGTATTATAATTATATAGTAAATAGTATTAAAATATTGTGTAGGTGCTATGTATGGTCCCATACAGACGGAGTATGGTACTATATAGTATTATATAATAATACTAACCAGGAATATTAATTTTTATATTATAATGTGTGAAATAAATTTATTGCTCTTTTTCGCCTGCTTTTTTTTTTTTTCCAAAATGCATTCCAATGAGACATACAGTTTCCTCAATAATTACATTCCGGACATTTAGGCTTATTTTAATAGATCAAAATTTTTTCAACACTGACCGAACATAGTACGACAGTGCCCGAGTCAAGTGGGTAAACTTGTATCGCATAATATACCTTTAACAGTTGCAGCACGTGTGACAACCTTTAATATAGCGTGTGCTCCTCGACCAGCTCGCATAACATTTAAACGCGAATAACTTTTAAAATCAACTCCAAATAAGCGTTAAAAAAACAAAATAATGAAGTTATAATTTTGTATTAATCGCCTAAAATCAATACATAACACAAAACCCTACGAGTCGTCAAAGAACAAAACATTTCACAAATTGCATAATAAACCGAAATCGAAAAGCGGTGGTTGCAAGTACAACTAAAAATACATCCATATCTACTGTACTAGGACCAACGCTCGAGGGGTTGTATTTTCATTCAATTTTCAATATTTCAAATAATATTTAACTTCCTTTGACCAATCGAAATCGGGGCACTGTGCACCATAATAATTCTTAGACAGTGTAACCTTTTTCCTACCTACTTGTTCCTCGGAAATCGGCCGTTGTGCACGGTACCCGACATCCCACTTACCCGTAACATATACACTGTATACCTATATACATATGGATGTGTGTGTGTGTGCGTGTAGGTATATGTTTTACGCAAGTCGGTTTACCCTTATCAATTGTCGACCAAACAAACGATTTGTCCCTATATTTATTCGTCATAAATAAGAGGGACCGTCGCCGTCGGCCGGATTGTTTATCCTTTACACATGACGGGGATACTTCTTCCTAACCGTCTCGATTTCATCCACTCTCGCGCACACACTGCATTAATAATCATCCACTATTTGCATTCTCATTATCCCTGCGTGTTTGGTCCCGGAGTACCTACCGGTCATTTATCTCCCCGACCGCCACTGTCACCGTTTAAGAAGACCCTATTTCACCGTCCAGATTCTGTTATAAATTACAATGTATAGCTGCGAATAACCCCGCGTAACGACCGCGCGTGAAGTGAGAGTGCGTGTTAATGAACTTATAACTATATTAAAGGCGTACACTACACCTGCATTTTAAGGGTAGCCTTTAATACGTTTAAGACCGGCCGACGACAGTTAGCCAAATATAATTTAAACACTCCCGGGACGACGTTTTTATACGTATTTTCTTCTAGCCGTCATAAAAATTACAATGATAATACGTATATAAATATATGCATAATATAATATTATATTATACTATAGTAGGTAATACGAAAAACAAAAAAAAAGTTTGGTAGTTAATGCGCGGAGCTTAATAATTTTTACAGCCCGACAAAAGTACACGTAGAGTTTAGCACAAGCGAACAGATTATAATATGATATTTGAGCTGACTTAATACGTATATAAATATATCTTGAATAATGAATTTATGTTCATTAAAACTTTTAATGTGAACGCGTAAAGCCTAAAATATACCATGTTTGTTGTTTTTTTTTTTTTTTTTTTTTTGCTAAACTTTATTGTTCACGCGCGAAATAATGGCGGTTCCATTATACTACAATCGAGTGAAATATTAAATAATTTTTAGATTTTGAATTTAAATCAAAGAAACAACTATTACTTACGTTTTTTTAGTCACGGAGAACTCCGGGTTTTTCATGTGATAGGCAGTTATTAATATGAATAATTTCACTACAATAGTAAAATATTATCAATTCACAATTGCTGTTCCGCTTAACATCATTAGCAAAAGTAGGTATAGGAGAGACAGGGCTAGTTGGGTACCGGAGTACATTGAAAATATTTTAAACAGTGCCACTTACAGAGGCGTAGCTAGACAATTTTTATTTAACTATGCGCATTGCCATATAGATGACTATATTTTCAAGAAAGTGGAGGTATTTAAGTACCTAGGTGTTAACATAAATAGCAACAACGACATGCATGACGAAATCAATGATCGAATAGCATGCGTCAACCGATGCTACTATAGCATAAGGAGCCTCCTTAAATCAAAACTACTGTCACGTAATTCAAAGACACAACTGTATCATAGCTATTTACGACCAATAATCACATATGCGAGTGAAACATGGTCACTGACCAAAGGAGATAGCAAACGATTAATGACCTTCGAAAGAAAAGTACCGAGAAAGATATACGGCCCGAAATTTAATGCAGAATCACAAACTTACGAAAGAAGGAAAAATCAAGAACTACAGGAGTTATATAACAGGCCAAATATTATTTCATATATAAAAAGCAAGCGACTAGAATGGTTCGGCCATGTTTGGAGAGCGAATGGACAAGTAATAAAAGAAGTGTTAGTTAACAAAATAAATAAAAAACGTCCATTAGGAAGACCCGATGGATGGACGTTATAGCTCAAGATATAAAAAACGTAGAAGAGTCATCTTTTGATGACGCATACGATAGAGAGAAATGGAGAGGTGTTGTGATGGCAGCGATGGCACTTAATGGGCCGATAAGCTGAGGAAGAAGAAGAAGATGCGCATTGCCACATACTGGCGCTCCACGTAGCCTCTGTGGCGTAAGGTGTAGGATACATCTTAAGATTATTTCATTTATATCTGTAAGCAACGATAAACTATTGCTAGCGAAAGACGATTCCGAGCATAGTTCGATAATACATAATTTGAAGTTTTTTTTTTTTTTTTTGATTTTTGTTTAAATTTAATTTCAAAATGCTTATTAAAAAAAAAAAAAAAAAAAATCGACAAAAATATAGTCTTTTGTCATTTTTCAATTGGTGCCAAATATAAATTTATGCTAGAAAACGTGGTAGGTGGAAAAACTATTTATTTTAAATAACGAAATCGTGAAAATATCGTATTTATTTTTCCAATTGATCGATTTAATTTGAATACGAAAATCAAAAAATGACCTATGTATTGATCAAGTAGTTAAAATTTACTCTCAGAAAAGGTACCACACTAATCCATCGGTGCAATGTACCTAGGATAAAAGTGGTCTACAGTATAAAAAAAAAAATAAAATAAAGTACCATTATAAAAAAACTAAAAACCGGAAAAAAAATGTCCTATGATTTTGGAAACTTTATCACGTTTAGGTAAGTTCAATATAAATATTATAACCAGTTTTCAAGTCTCTACATGTATTTATAATTGAATACCATCAATAAACTCCCAAAAATTAAAATTACTTAAAAGCTCAAAAGTTTTGACGATGATACCGTAAGAAAGTAAACTAAAAGCCAACAAAAAAGATATCTTATGATTTTTCGATTAAACCATTTTTTCTGGTAGAAAACGTCGTCTGTGTCTTTATAAAATAATGAAATCGTGAAATTGTACGTTTTCACTTAAGTGCTTTTATTTAAAACATGTGGTCAGAAATCAAAAAAGAATTTCATTAAAGTACCATAAAGACAACTTGAGTTTTCAGAAAAGTTACTAAACATAACAATCGGAGCAAGTCTACTACGAAAAAACGTGTCCACAGTCTAACAGGCTAGAAAAATGAAAAAAAAAAAAGAAAAAATAAACAGCATTATAAAACCAATAGCCAGGGCTACGCTTGGAATTTAAAATTAGGTAGACGCAAATAAAAAAATTGAAAAAATAATCTCGTGTGGTAGGTAGCTTCCGGTCAGTATTAAATATAATACGCCTTTATATTAGTATATGTATGTGTCGTGACGATGACCGTACAATAAACATACATACATAACATACACACGCACACAGAGGACGATATGTACACCATATTCATCGACGGACAAACCGCCGTGTATCCGTATTATACGTAGTAATCAGTAACAATATCATTTTTAAATATTATTGTATTAAAAATATGTGAACAACTATTTAGGAATAAATCAATGTGAATAGAGATTAGAAATTAATTTTTTAAAATATTATTAAATTAAAATACGTGAACAAGGATCAGAAAAGAAAACAATGTGATCGGCAAAATGCTTGGACACGGCATCCCAGTTTACAATGTCGAATATGGTATTGACATAATTAGCACGTACATTTTTGTACTGTGAATACTAAACATATTTTCAAACATCAATTCCAAACAAAGGAATAACTCCTACATACAAAAAAAAAAAAAAAACAAAAACATGAATCAACAAGTAATAAAAATTAAGAACAATTTAAAGATGAGATTATTATTAAATCACTTGTTAAAATACAATTTTAATCTTTAGAGCTTTTGATTTTAAATGTTTGGTTTTGAAGACAAGGATCCAATATCAGCCAACCTTATCCAATGCCTTAAATTGAAACAGATACGGAAGATAGCTGTTTTTTAGATTTTTTCTATGTTTCAAAGCTTTCAAATAAAGCGGTATCTAATTCACCTAAAGACAACAAATTAATAAACACAAATATTATATTTAATTACATTATTCAAATGATCACTATTTCTTAGTTACTAATTAAAAAAAAAATTATTATTAGTTATAAGAATTATTAATAGTTTCACCAATATTACCGTTTTTCGATGAAAATAAGAGCATAGAAATACAAACGCACGCATCAAATGATGGAATGGGAGCGGTTGCAGGAAGGACATTCGATAGCATTTGCGTCAAGGGGTTTAACAATGACTGAGCAAAGATATGCACAAATAAAAAAATAATTATTAGCCATATGTTTAAGGGTAAAGAAATTATATTTTTATATTTATGGACAAACAAATGTTACAGTAGCAACAGATCATAAGCCGTTATTTGCAATACACAAGAAAAATTTAAATGATGTGTTGGTGAGATTACAAAGAATGCTACTTAAACTCCTTAGTTATGATAATAATTTAAAATACCTGCCAGGGAAAAATCAGTATAAAACAAACGCGTTATCAAGAGTATATTTGGAGAATGAAAACATAAAGAAAACTGATATAGATTATGTTGTACATCAATTTGAAGAGTCCCTGGAAATATCAGAAATAGCGAAATAAAAAATAAAAAAGGAAACAAGAGAGGATTCAATTTTAAGTTTAATAATAAAAATACTTAATTTGGGTTGGCCAGAAGAAAAAGAATGTACCAGAGGAAGTAATGCATTGTTGGAAAATTAAAGAAAAAATTAATGTAATAGATAATAAAATTAAAGTAGGACGTAAAGTAGAGATACCGAAGAGTTTAAAATTGGAAATATTAACATTGATTCATGAAGGACATGTAAAAATAGAAAAATGTAAATATCTTGGGAAATAAGTTTGTTATTGGCAAAATATTAACAAAGATATAGAACTATTTGTGAAAAAAATGTAAAACATGTGAAAATTATAGTTTTACTAATAGGAAAGAAACATTACAATCATATCCTATTTCAGAGATGCTTTGGAACAGAGTATCAGTAGATAAATTTATTTTTGCAAATAAAAGTTATTTAGTTGTTGTAGATAGATATTTAAATTGGATTGAACTGATTAGCACATAAATAAATCAGTATATGTAGTTATTAAAAAATTGAAAGGAATTTTTTCTAAATTTGGAATATCTATTACACTTGTAGCAGATAATGTATCGTTTAACAGTTATGAAATTAAAACATTTGTAATGGAGTGGAAGTTTAATTTAATGTTCAGAAGTCCGAAATATCTACAATCTAATGGGTTAGAAAAAAAAGCAGTAGATATATCAAAGTTATTAAAAAAACTGTGGAAAAAAATAAAGATATATATTCAGCTTTGTTAGGATATAGAAACAATCGATTAAAAAATGTAGGATAATCGCCATCACAGCTTTTATTTAGTAGAATTTGCAAGACTAAATTACCAAGTACGACTAAATTGTTAAGATCTAAAATGTATGAAGGAGTATATCAGGAGTTAAAATTGAAACAAAGAATAAATGAAAAATATTATAATATGAGAGCTAAGAATTTACCATAATTAAAGTCAAAAGACAATAAGGTTATCAGAGATTAAAAAAAAAGGGAAACATGGGAACAAGGAAAAATTATTTAAAAACATAAAAATTTAAGATCTCACACAATGTGTAAAGAGAAAAATCATATAGTACAAAGAAATAGAGGTGGTTTAAAAATATCGTTTCAGAATTATGATGATTTCCATATAAATATAAATAACGAGGAATATAAGGAAGTTAAGAAAGAAGAACAAAAGAGTGAATACGAAGAACAGAATAAAGGAGAAAAAGAGCGTGCGATAAAAAATGAAAATATGTTACAAGGATTGGTAGAGAGAGTAAACTACCAAAGAAGTATAATGATTTCAAAATGTAATATAAGTAGTAATTTTAAGAATTCAGTATTGTATTATTAATGTAATTTGTATATCATAATATTATGTGTGATAATAAATAATTAAAAAAAAAAAAAAAAACATGTAAATTGCAATTGATCAGTCATTTAGTTAAGGTACACTACATGCGTATTTAAATTATAATTAGTTTTATTTTAAGAAAAAGGATGTATGATATATTATTGTTATATTGATAGTATAATAGGATATGACATATATTGTGATAATATATTAGATAGTTTTTAAGGTTATATCACTATGACAAATCGTGTGTCAGGTTAACTTTACGTAAAACATGTAGACAAGTTTATAAAAGATTCAATTGTATCATTTGGACTATGAGTATATATTATATCATTAGTTTATTTAATGTGTAAACTAATACATCCGTTACGGATGTATACAAATTGCACCCATACGAATTATATTATATAATACGTTTTTGTGTGTGTGTGAAGATAAGTAAATGTGAAAGGTATTGGTCATGATCAACATTTGTACCCATATGTGTGTGGACTTGCAGGAATACTGTTATTATATTTCGTATAGGTAAATGATTATAAAAAAACATTTTTTCGAGTCATCGACAACCAATATAAGATAATATTTTGTTGTATAGGTTAAATAAATAACTATGTGTGTGTAATGAGGAAAAAATCCTGAACGGGAGAGGAGTGGGACGTTATATAACGTCGCTAGACGGGTCTGTACAGGCTCGTTATCGCCGAAGAATCTATTAAAAAAAAAGTAAAATCCTTTGACCAAAAAATCGACAACCGATTTAAAATATTGTTTTGCTGTATAGAAAATAGTTGGCTGTAGCGGAGGGTATGGGTAATGGGTCGGCGGGGACTGCGAGTGCGCGCGGAGGTAAAATAATGTTGTATAGATAATTGATGAAGGTAGATGGGCGGGGGAGTGGAAGAGAACGTTATAGGCTCCTGGACTGCCAGGTCGGTGCCGGTCCGTTGTCGCCGACGTGTATCGGCCATCGTCTCGCAACCGTTTTCTCGCCAGTTTTCTCGCCGCCGTCGACTCGCCGCCGAAACCTCGCGGCCAGACGGAAGTTCGGAAGGTAGGATATTGAGGGAAATTTAATGTACATCTGCACCTAAGCAAATTTAAACATTGCCAACAGAAATGATTCTGAGCCAAGCTCGGTTAATAGTATTATTCAGGGGCGTCTTTAGGTCAATTCTATGGTGGGAGGAGGGCGAACAGTTTTCATTCTTGAATACCACCCTTTGGTCAATAAAAACTTAAATAATAAAATAATAAAGTAAAAATAAAATTATTACAATGGTTAATACTCGTAAATAAATATATAAATAACAAATTTATATGTAAAAATAAAATAAATAAATGAATCATTGCGTCGCCTGGAGTATTATAATAAATGTATTATACGATCGACTTTGAATTCAAAATTCATCATCAGGTATATCATAGTCAAAATGTAAAACGTGACTCTTAAAACCTTTACGTTGAAATATAAGTTATAAGTATAAGTTAAATAAGTTAATTAATAAAAAGTTAATTCCAACTTATATTACATTTACATTTTGACTGTCATATACCTGATGATGAATTTTTAATTCGAAACCGGTTGTATAAATACATTTATCATATTATTATTATACTAATATTAAATAAATTTAAAAAAATATCTTATCAATTATTTTTATCGCATTTTCCGCTGGAATTGCCTAACTTCCGTAACCGTTTACCGGGAAATCGTAAGAGATACGAATTTTTGCCAAGAAGTAAAAAAAAAAATTCTTAGAATAGGCTACTGAGCGAGTCCTCACAAACGGTGTTAGGAAAAATGCAATATTCGAGAACTTAGGATTTTGAATATTATTAATTACGTGAATTTACGATGTTGGATCCAGAGTATAATACAATTGAAAAAAATAATATGGGAAATCACTAAAACTATATTATATTTTTATCTATTTGAAAAAAAAATAAATAAAAAAAATAAAATTTTACGTGTTGCTACCCCCTTCCCATCATTTTTTTTATTTTCGAGGGGAGGGAGAGTCGTGTGAACTTCAAAACTAGAAGTACGAAACGTGTATTAAATATCTAAAAGAAAAATGTTAATTTTTTAAAACATTTTAGGACAGTATGAGTACGTCCGATTACCTATTGGTTACTGTAATAGTCCTTCAGCCATTATGAGATTTATTGAATCAGTATTTAAAGATTTAAAAGTAGGACTACAAATTAATGAACAAAAAACTTAATATATGATTATAGGCAGACAAAATTGGATGGATCACGTTTTAGAGGTAGATCATTTTAAATTTAAGAGAGTCAATTCTTTCAAATATCTTGGCTCAATTGTGACTGAAAAAAAATGATATCACCAAGNAAATCTCAAGCTGGAGTTAAACAGCTCTGTGACAGACTTAATGACGCAGCACAGAAAGTAGGACTACAAATTAATGAACAAAAAACTGAATATATGATTATAGGTAGACAAAATTGGATGGATCATGTTTTAGAGGTAGATCATTTTAAATTTAAGAGTCAATTCTTTCAAATATCTTGGCTCAATTGTGACTGAAAAAAAAAATATCACCAAGGAAGTAGCCGCGAGAATCCAAGCGGGAAAAAGGACTTATTATGATTTGGAGAAACTATTAAGTTCTAAATCATTATCAAGAGAGATAAAGAGACGTTTGTATACTAGTCTAATACGGCCAGTGATATTGTACGGATCGGAAACCTGGGCACAAAGGAAATCAGATGAGAATAAGTTTTTAATACTAGAAAGGGAAATATTACGAAAGATCTTCGGTCCAATAAAAGATAACATCACANTTGCGGTGGGCAGGACATGCAATGCGAAGCCAGAACTCTTTACTAAGAATGGTTTTAGAACAGAATTCAGTAGGCAAAAGGCCTTTGGGAAGACCAAAATTGAAATGGGAAGATTTAGTTAAGAGAGATATAGAAGTCTTAGGAGGCGGAGCAAACTGGAAGGATTTAGCGATGAATAGAGATGCCTGGAGAATTGGTTGTAAGACGGAATGGTCCTAGCGGCCGATTAACCTAACCTAACCTAACCTAACGTAAATTCGCGTAGTCAATAATATTCAAAATCCTAAGTTCTCGAGTATTACACTTTTCCTAACGCCGTCAGTGGCGGCGAGGTTTCGGCGGAAAGGAGTCCGGCGGCTAGGTTTCCGTAGCAAGGTACATTTTTGTACTGCAAATAGTAGCCATGTTCCCAAATGTCATTTCCAAAATAACGTACAAGTCCTGCACATAAAAAAAAAAAATGATTCAATTAATATCGAAACATAAGAACAATTATTATTTTAGATATAATATTATTATCGAGACATTTATATACTATCGCTACAATTTTTGGTAACGTCAATTTAAATAGGCAAGAAATTATAATTATCACTGGTATAAATACTCCATTATTTTATTACCTTTATCCTAAAACCGTGATTAAAAATCACTAATAACAAATTTCAAGTGGGATTGAAGACGAAACACCTATCACTCTCCCCCATACGATACGCCACTGAATAAAGACTAATATACGCATTTTGTGAAAATCGAAAATAGTGAATCGTTATACTGTTTTTCTAAGATTATTTAGAAAACTTAACAGAAAATCGATTACCCATCTTCTGACACAACCAGACAACTATTGGATTTCAGAAAAGATAACAGCTGTTTAATTTTGGAATATAACCTTGGCTAGAAAAAAAAATTGAGAAATAAAAAGTAATGAAATCGACATTGCCTTATGTACATATCCTTTTATCCTATTGATTGTTCTGGTTATTTCTAATTTTGATGAAAAAAACTCGAAAAAGGAAATAATAACGTTAAAACTAAGCCCAAAATTATTCAAAAAAGGTAATATGTTATTTTTTGATTGGAGCTAGATTTCTGGTAGTAAAGTTACTGACAAACACAAAAAATAAGCATTTGTAGTAAATTCAATATGTACAATGCTCGAAGTTGAACATAAACAAAAAAATTTAATCAAAATATAATACGAACCATTTAGTCCACAAAAGCAAATAAAATTCGTTTAGCATTAGAAATTTGATCGGATACTTCTGTCCAATTTACAACCACAAACATGGCATTGACATATTGAACACGTACATTTTTGTACTGCAAAAAGTATTCTTGTTCCCAAATGTCGTATCCAAACAGACGAATAATTTCTGCACACAAAACAAAAACAAAATGATTCAACAAATATAAAAATATAAGAACAATTTTAAGATAAGATGATCTAACCATTTTTATAGATAATCTTCTGATTTAAAATTAATTTGATCTTCGACTCTGGGTTTTGTTCATTAGGATCAAATACCAGCCAACCCCATCCCAAACCTTGAATTGAAACAAATACGGAAGATCGTGTCTTTTTAAATTCTTCCAATAATCTAAAGCTTTCAACTATAGCGTTTTGTAATTCAACTAAAGACAATAAATTATTAAATAATTATGTAACGTTTTATTCTATTATTCAAACTAATTTTCATTAGACCAATAGATATATACTAAAACTCTAATGATTATATATTTACAAGACGGTTTGGTCGGATGTGGTGTTCGACTATTCCAAAACAACGTGCGATTGATATGGTCACCAATATTAAATTTCAACACATTTATTAATTCTAACATTGTAAGGGAGTGATCTGTTAAACAACATTGATAGTAAGTAATATATTTATATCGTAAATTAGTTAGAATGTTTTAATTCACTTGACACAGAAGACGGCTTAAATTTGGCCACCGCCTTATTATAATTGACAACATTAGAAGAATGATTATTTTCGGGGTTTAATTCCATCATATTGCGTGGTATAGTAGGTTCCAATGATTTCCATCCATATGGAAGTGGAGGCAATGTTACCTGTGAAGCGCCAACTGGTTCTTTCATAATGCAACTCACGTTACTAAATGTTCGTGTTGGTGCCCTTTAAAACACATGATGTGTTGTTAAACTTAATATTTTCTAATATTCAGAAATATTACGAAAAACGTTTCGATGCTAATTTCGGTTATACATGATTTGAAAAGCCGAACCTAATCTAAAATCTGATATTCTTATAAAAAATATAAGAATATTACGTTACGATCGATTTTTTTTTTTTTTACTACTAAATAAGATTTATAATGAAAATCCAGTCAAATTTTCAGGCATTTCTGTTTATTCCGCATAATTGTATTCGCAAAGTATCTACTAAATAAAAATTCGCAAAATTTAAATATCTACTATATTTTTAAAATATCTCAAATGTTTTAAAAATTATCTTGATTCTCTTACAATTTTACTGATTTTACCATGTTTTGTAAAAATGAGGGGGGAAGCTCAGGGGAAAGTCAAAAAAATACTTCTTATAGAAATAAGAGAATTTTTTTTATGAAAAGTGCTGTCATTGTAAATCTGAGCAAAGTTGTTAAAAAAAAAATTATCTCAATTTTAAAAAATTTTAATATTTTATAATTATACTTAGTACAATTCCCGATTTTTTTTTTTTTATTTGTTTTGTGAATTTGGTGAGAAAATCGAAAAATGACCACCCTAAAGAACGTCCCCAAGTCTGATCCTTTTAGAAAAGTTGCTACACTTAAATTGGAGAAAAATTATTGGTAAAAAAGTTGCGCTATGCTGAATCTAAAAAAAAATTTAGTCAAAATATAATAGGAACCATTTCTATCATGGTCGCAAGTCTTAAAGTTAAACATAAAATTTAACACATTTTAATATTAACTGGTTAGATTATAATTATATTTTTATACTAATTTTTTAAATATTCTAATGATAAGTAAACAATTAAACTTCGTATTATTTATTATGATAATAATTACGTTTTAAATAGTCATATAATTAATAATAAACTATTGATAGAAAACGTGTACCTACATAGGTTCTCCGTTTATCCACCTATCAACACGCGTTTTAATACCGTCGACAATTATAAATCCGTTCGCAATTTCGGATGAATGTTGTATTAATCTAAAATTGGGTTTTGACAAAACCGGTATCTCTCTAAATCATTCATAAACTTTAGTTAATAAATTTAATCAAATACATAAATAGTCGAACGTTTACGTTTCATTTGATTTTTTCTCAGCCGTCATATTTAATTCTTCCGGAAATTGTTGAAGTAATGTTCCCGTTGTGTTTGGTCTATGCAAATTCATATTTGAACAGAACACAATCATAATTAAAACATAATATAGAACAATTAAGAACATTTTTTTAAAAAACATTATTTTAAAAGTAATAATTAATAATTTTATACGGACAATAATATTATAATTTATTTTTTTTAAATTTGTACACGTTTTGCTAATTTGTATATACCATATTTCCCCTTTAACTACTTGGACTGTTTGTGCAATAAAATCATATTTATTTTGAGCAGAATTTAAAGCTCATGAAAAAAAATGAGCTCCACAGAGGACACATTGTATTCCTCTTTGTGATCCTAGGTAAAAAATAATAATGATAATAATACTAAAATATTATTAATTCAATAAATTTGAAATGATAAAACACTGAAGTAAAAACATAATTATTAAAATTTTTAATACTCGTATTTAAATATATAAAAAAAAAATGTATGTACATAAATAAAAACAAATAAATGAATGAATACGTCGCTTAAAGTATTAAATATTTAATAAATCAAATATTTTTATTTAAAATTAGTTATTATTAAACATAGGTATGTTAAAAAATATATATTTTTTAGTTATTATTTATTATCCAAAATGTATTGATGTAGCGTTATTTTTAAAATCGGTTTGAACATATCAAATGTTATTAAAATCGTTTTTTTTAAATTTTATTGTATATATATATTTCTAGTGAAATTGAATTAATGTAAATGTTATTTTGGGTATTTAATATTTCTTTGTCTGTATAATATTAAAACTTATCGTTATGGTTATTTTCTAAGACATGTTTAACGAAATTTGAATTGGGGCAGTTTTTTTTTAAATTTTATTTCAGAAATGTGTTTTTTATATGTTATTCTAAAATTTCTATTCGTCTCACCTATATACAATTTATTACGGTTACATTTAAGTTTATGTATATCAGTATTTTCAAAAAAAGGGGAATTTCTTGTGAAGTGTTTAGTTCTTTTGCTTATATGTTTAATTAATTGTTATTAGTCTTATAAGTGATTTATGCATTCATTGTATTATTGTTCAGAAGTTTAGCAAATTCGTTACACAAAAAATTTGAATTTTTTTTCTACAATAGCTAAAAATATTATTTGGTGAGTTGAGTATTATTTTTTCTTTAATGCGTTTATAAATTTTATCAGCAGAATTTAAATTTAAATTATCTCTATGGACTATATTAGAGATAATAATGAGCTCGTATTCATATCTATGTTTATTTAATGGAATACGTTCAAGCCTATAGAATATTGATTTAAAAAATGATATTTTTTGAGAATAAGGGCGATTAGCAGGGTTCGGGACTTATTGTACTTAAAATTCATAAAAAAAGCATTTGAAATCACGTCCTAGGATAATGAAGACGGGTGTAGTCACAGTTTTAGGTATTTTAATATCTGTATATCTGTAAGCAACGATAAACCATTGCTAACGAAAAAGGACTCTGAGCGCAGTTAAGTTGATAGTGATTCTTTGTCAACATTACATATATCATATTACAGTAAAATAATTAAATAGGCATTATACATTTTCTTTAGTAATTTTTTTTTTAATATTGTATCGATTTCTCCGTTTATCCTGGTTTTCCCATAATTTTCCCGGTATTTAATTCTTTCTAGGAAAATTTTTGGACAAATAGAAAAATAACCTCCCTTAAGTACTTCCCCGTCGGATTTCTTTTCGTAAAATTGCTATCATTTTAAAAATTGCTGGTAGAATAGTTTGCATAACAAACGGAGAGGTATTTGGCGATTAAAATAGTCCGATCGATTAATGGATTGGGTTTCTAGAGGTACACCCGAAATGCATTTATTTTCTCTTTCTTTAGATAAAAGGGCAAAACGTGCAATACATGTTTTTCGACACACTTGTTTGAACTCAAAATTTCTAGGATAATAATAGGCGTTAAAATCCATTAGATTACGACAAATATGCATTAAGAGGGACAATGTAGAATTATTTAACATATCATATTATTGTATTCGCAAAATTTCAAAACTTCAAAAAAAAGCTCAATTCTGACTTCACCATCGTTCTTAAATCAGCAATGTACAAAAGTTAAAAAAAAAAAATAAATAAATAAAAAAAAATTAATTTTGTTTCAAATATCTTATTACTCAAACGATTTTCGTCGAAATTTGACATTAAAATTTCTTTAGAAAAAATAACACTACCTAGTTACCAAATTACTAATGATAAATGAACAATTTAATTTCGTATTATTTATTATTATTAATTACGATAATAATTACGTTATAAATAGTTATATAATTAATAATAAACTGTTGATAGAAAACGTGTACCTACCGAGGTTCTATGTTTAACCAGCTATCAGAACTCTTTTTAATATTTTTGTCCATTATAAATGCGTTTGCAATACCAAATGCATTTTGTATCCATTTATAATTGGGTTTTGACAAAACCGGAATCTCTCTAAATTTTTCATAATTTTTAGTTAATAAATTTAATCAAATATATAAATAGTTAAACGCTTACGTTTCATTTGATGTTTTCTTAGTCATCATATTTAATTGTTCCTGAAACTCTAGAAGTAGTGTTCCCGTTGATTTTGGTCTAAGCAAATTCATATTTGAAAAGAACACAATCATAATTAAAACATAATATAGAACAATTAGGAACATTTTTTTTAAAAAATATTATTTGAAAAGTAATAATTAATGATTTTATACTGACAATATTATTATAATTTATTTTTTTAAATTTGTACACGTTTTGCTGATTTGTATATACCATGTATCACCTTAACTACTTGGAGTGTTTGTGCAATTGAAGCATATTTATTTTGAGCAGAATATAAAGCTCATCATAAAAAATGAGTTCCACAGTGGACATATGGTAATCCTCTTTGTGATCCCAAATTGGATAATAATGATAATGATATAGTATTGATAATAGTAATGATAATAATACTAAAATATTATTAATTCAACACATTTGAAATATTATTATTAAGATAATTGGTTATCACAATAGAACAAATCAAAAAGTTAAGCAATACTAGCATAGCAGTAAAAAAACAATAACAGAATAAAATAGAGAATCAAAAGCACAAATTCCTTAAATCCTTAATTCCTTTTTAAAAATAACTTATTTGGAAATTGATGAGAGAATGAAACCAGATATGTCTACTAATTTATGAAATAACACGCCAAGTTTAGATGATCACCCAACTCAAAGTGTTAATAAAAATACCACTTATGGAGATCTCTTTGTATTATCAGACGTTATCTGCTGTATCTCCCTGTCCCTTTCTTGTCTTTTACATTGTCTATGCTCCGGCCGCTGTACCTAAGTGTGATTATAATAACTAAAATAAACAGAAATCAACCATAGGCTATGCAGAACTGTTGTTTCCACCGGTTTAAGAAGATGTTCGCATTAAAGGGAATCCGTTATAAGGAGGTATTTAGATACGCGGATACGCTATCGAACAGCGGATAATTTATTTTATCATAATTATAATGATGGATTTCCCAGGTATACGGATTAATAAAAAATTATGTTTATATGATACAAAATATATTATAAATTGTTAAATATAATTATTGTATAGATGTACTTGTTAGAAGATATCTGGAGCGATTCTTCAACTGTTTTAATGGCATGTTGTAGATTGGCCCATCTATCTGAACAACTAATTAATTTCTCATCAGTTATATTTGTGTTATTCAACCGATCTAATCCTGAATCACTAAAATATAAAAAATATTGTGTAATGTACCGGGTTTCTTATATGTCTTATATATCTTATATGTTTACTCTGCATTAATGATAAGAAGGGCTAGAATTTATATACAATAAAAAATGCATTTGGTTTATTAAAAATATGCAAAAATATGCAATAAAAATATGTTTAAATAAATCAAATAAATATTATTTAAAAAAACACATACATTTTTTTTTAAATACCAATAAATAAAATTAAATATGTCAAACACAAAAATATATGATGAAATAAACACTTAAAATATAAAAACCTTTTAAAAATATTTATAAAATAATAATTGATATAAAATTGATAAAGCTACTCAAATGAGTTACATGATAAATGATGTTTTAAGTTTTCAAAAATGAACGATCCTCTGTTTGACCTTAGTATGTTTTTATATATGCTAAAACTCCGTTCGACATCACACGACGTAAATTCTAAATTTCGTTACTTCCCTGGAGTTAGATTTAGAAAATCTTCATCTAGATTGTTTTCATTTAAAATATTACGTATCGTAAACATAGCTTTTAGCCCGGTATTTTTTTCTTACGCATTTTTTAATTTTTTGTCGATTTTTTCAGCGATCGGACCTTTGTTTTGGCCAAGTTTAGATTTGGTGTTTTCAACGATTTCCGAATTCTCATCGAGTAAAAATGATGCATTTTCTAATTTCAAAATAGATTGAGTGATAAAGCCAAGGTTACTTTTTATATAAGCTAAATCATTTTGTATATTTCTATTTTCAAATAAAGCTGTAGTATTCTTTATCGATTTCGCAGTNCCAAGTACCCCATCGGGTATGTATTGGCTGTGGAGGCAAAGGTTATTTTGGAAATAATTCTCGAAATTTCAACACACGACTCGGAGCTTTTAAAAATACTTTTTTCACACAATTTATCATATTATCGATATACGGATACTCAAGTGTTATTGTTTCACACACTCTGTGCAAACCATGGGCTACACATGTCACATGTATCATATTTGGAATAACACAGTTAGTGTATTAGCCGTTTTCACCATGTATGGTGCAGCGTCAGTTAAAAATAAAAAAAACTTTATTATATTTAATGTCATTGGGCCAAAGTATATTTAAAGCATCGTGAAATAATTTCCCTACTGTTTGATAATTGCACTTTGATAGTTCCTCGCAAATCAATAAATACGATTTAGGACATTTCTCTTCATGCATAAGACCAATTATAACATTAGCTACGTACCTTCCGTCAACGTCCGTAGTCTCATCAATTGAAACATAAATGGGGCCCTCACAAATTTCTTTACGAAAACGGTTAATTACTTCATTGTAAATAACTGATACACATTGTTTGCGATACACATTGATTGATCCGGAATATGTTTACCAGTATACTTTTTCAAAAATGTATTAAAAGTTGTATTATGCAATTTCCATAAAGGGATATCAGAATCTAAAAATGCACGACATAAACCGAGCGAAAATTCTGAGTTCTGATCTTTAAATGAGTCTTTCATAAATATTTGTTTCATTTTTTTCTTTTATTGTTGAACTACTGAGGTGTTTTGCTGTACTTAAATGCTGAGTTACTTGAAAGCGCTTATTTGATGAGACTGCCTGGTCACAAATATTACAAAATAGTGTTTTACCATCGGTTTCAAAACCTGTACTAGAAAACTCTTTGACATACTGTCGAAGTTTTGCAGAGGTAATTTGTATTTTTGGCATTTTACAAATTGAATGTACGTATATAACGAAACCAATACAGTTCGCAAATAACACGACAACGTATCACCACACACGATATACGACAATGACTGTCAAAATACAAACTAACTTTTAGCTGTATGCCCAAATGCTTTTATCCAGTAAGCGTACGAGTATATGACAGTAAGATAATATAAGATAAAATTACATTTGGTTATTTTTGTATGGCGATAAAATGAATTGTAACGAAATATACTATAAATAAAACATGCACTTTTTGTGTTTTTATAGTCGAAATGTATACAAATATTCATTTTGTTCAGAATATGCAAAAATATGACAAATAAAAATACCACAATGTACCTCAACAAGAACTAATTCGTGGACATTACTTACAAAAAAATAAGTAATCAGAAGTTGCAAAAAAAAAAAAAATACCAATGCATATGAATCCTAGCCCTAATGATAAGTGATATCATTATTATTATGATAAGGGTAATAACATATTAACAGTTATTATATTTATTTTTGATATATCCGTGTTAAAAGTAAGTTATAAGTAATAATATATGCGGTAAGATTATAAAATAACGTCCTAGGATAATGGGAACGGTAGCCGTTGTTTTAAAGACTTGTTATTAAGACTCTTAATGAACCCCCTGTTAAATTTTCAAGAATTTCTGTTCAAGTCTAACAAGCTAAAAATTTTACCACAGAGTACCTACTGAATACAAATTACGTACAAAAATCGCTAAATTAAAATATATATAAATAGTTGAAAAATAGCTTAAATTTTTTGAAAATTTTACCACGTTTAGAAAAGAAAAATACAATATTTCTGTCCAAATTTTAAGTTCATAGAATCGATACGAATATTTTTAGTTAAATTTCAACAAAAATATTACAATTTTAATAAAATGCTTTAAAAATGTCAAAAAAGAAATTTTGTACATATAAATAGTGAAAACATGACTGGAAAGACAAACTACTGAAGATAATTGAAGATAATGAAGATAATTCTATTATTAAAGAAAATATTAGTACAGGAATCAAAACTAATAATTCGAGTGAATCTTCAATTGATAACATACGGTCAATACATTTTCCATGGGTTAAAACCACTATCATATTAAAAAGTCAACTAAATCATCTGAACGATATGTACTATATAAAATTACATATAAATTATATAAATATAACATATAACATATAAATAAGATAACCGATAATCTCATTATTTATGCGGCTATATAGCATACATGTGTAAATAGATTTTATCTATAAACATATAAATAAATATATATATATATATATATATTATATTGTACAATATTAATATTAATTTAAAATGTATCGAATTCATACGAAAATACAAAATAAAATAAAAATATGATACAAAAAATTTAATGTTAACTTTGTCCTTGAGTGTTTTCACATAATAAATTCCACGTTGGCTCAATTTGACTAAGCGCGATCCGTAAATCATCTTCAGTTTCAAGTCTATTTCTTTTAGGCGTCTTCAAATTTGCTATAGTAGAAAACGCCTTTTTTTTCTGAGTAATTTAATTCTGTTTTAAGTTTTAATTCTGCATAATTTCCCGTGCATAAGTGTGCCCAAAATATTTCTAATAAAGTTTCACAAAACATTTGTTTCGATTTGTTATCACACGATAACACAATTAATTGATTTTCAATGTCTGTAGACACATTTACTGTCATTATATCTGCTGCAAATGGTTGTTCAGTCCACTCGTAATTTACTCGAATATCCTCAGGAAAATATCGGTTAAATAATTTTTCTAAGTTTGTCAAATGTTCGTTTACTAATACAGAAATGTCTTCAAACTTGATTGAATTATCCTCCTCTACTCAAACTCACTAACGTTGGTGACATTATCAATATTTCCAGAATATAAATCAAATATAATATCAAAATACTCTATCGATTTTTCTTTTAAATTTGTATTTAAATGCCTTTTTAATTTTGGTGGTTTTAAACTTTTATTTGCGAGTGATTCTCTACAGACCACACATTGTGGTTGGTACCAAATTGTTATGATTTCCCATGTTAAAAGCACAAAATCTAAATTTTAAATAATTTTCATCATACCTTCCTTCAACCAATAAATTCGGATTTCTTTCTCTTGCGGGAGTTTTCCTCCGCGTTTTGAAGTTGAAGGTACTTATGATAACGTTGTCATGTCTTCATGTGTATTAATTTGGCCACTTTTCCGAATACCATATTTTTCCGTTTTATTAAATAATGAAAAAATATTAACGCACGGTTGGCGAAATAAACGATAAAAAACTTTTTAACGGATACGTAAATACGACTAGAATAATATAACGCGACTAATATTTATCGTCTTTAAACACAGCAACAACATCGATAATATTCGTAGATTACGGGATTCTTAGATTAATCTAACGATAACAATGTATATTAATTCTATTAATAGCACAGTTTATTTGTAAATTATTATATTCAATAATATTGAATCAGTATCTTACTACGTAGAATCTTACAATAATTTGCATTATTCTTTGGACGAAAATTAACTTAATTTAGATAATTTTGAATAAAATTAACTTAAAAAAGTTAACACGTTAACCTTAAAAAATAAGTAACGAGTTAACTAACATAATTTTAACTTTTAACTCGTTAATGCCCAGCCTTGTTAGATATATACTGTTTGACATGTATTCAATTTCAAAATGCATAATTTAAATCTGTGCATGTACCTATAATATATTTATAAAGACTGTAAAAGCACACAAATTCAATTACCAGAAATTAAGTTCACCCATTAGAAAATTAGCAGAAACAACTTAAATAAATAATGTTGTGTTGAATTTAATCATTTTAAAATATTTAAAAATAATATAATATAGATATTAACACGAATGATAAAAAAAAAAAAAATATTGAATTAATATATAAGAAATTTTTGAACTAATATTTTTTTTGAAAATTGTACAACATTAGTGTTAATTTACTGTGGCGGTCGCCCTACCCGAGCGTGATTATAATGACCAAAATATACAGAATATAGGCTATGCAGAAGGAGATTTTCGCCTTATAGGGGTTCCGTTATAAGGAGGTTTTAAGGTAACTAATTGAAAATTAATTAGTTGTTTAGTTTCAAAAAAATCCGATAAAACGACGCAGGGGCCTAAAAAGTGAGGTTTTCTGTAGCCTACATTATTCGTCAATAGCGTTTTTGCTGTGTACACGTTTATTATTCAATAAATATATATTTTTGTCCGACGGCCAAAATGTTTTACGGATGACAGGCCAATCGGCGTTTGTCGAACAGCGGATAATTTATTTTATCATAATTATAATGATAGATTTCCAAGGTATACCGGGATTAATAAAAAATTATGTTTATATTATACAAAATGTACCATAAATTGTTAAATAAATTATTTTATAGATGTACTTGTACACATTTTTCCGGAATGTCTCTTCCTTAATGGCTGGCTTAATAATTTGTGCTAGATTAGGCAATCCGTCCGAACGATCAACGTGTTCCGTAGTTCTTTTCAGATTTTTAGGATCAAATCCTACAACACTAAAATATAAACAGTTACCGTGCAATATATCGTGTTAAAAATTCTTAGTGGAGCGAAGAAGCTTATGGTTTTACCAATATGATTTTTTTTTCGTTTTTTGTTCTATGAACATTTTTTTACCACAGACCTTGCTCCGATTTTTATGTGTAGCACATTTTTTTAAATAAAAACTGTGTAAGGTGATACTTTAAAGTAGTAATTTTTCGATTTTCTCAAGAATTTTCTCATCAAATGCAAAAACTTGAACAAAAACGTAGAAAAACGGGAAAATTAAAGAAATGTGGGTATTAGTTGATTACGATTTTTTTTTCTGTGTACAACTTTTCCACTAGTAATTTCGTTCCAATTTATAATGAATGATGAAAGCAACGTTTCTAAAAGGATATCCAACACTTTAGAGAGGTCATTATTAGATTTTTTCACGAGTTTTCTTATCAAATTTAAAAACCGAAAAAATGGGAAAATATAAAAAGCGTAGGTATTAGTTAAAATAAATTACGGCTTTTTTTTTCCCCGTAAACCACTTTTCTATTAATAATTTATTTGCTCCAATTTATAATGATAACAATTTGTATAAAAGGAAATTTCACTCGGAACATACTTTAGAGAAGTCATTTTTTTAATTTTCCCTAGCAAATGTGAAAAACTAGGAAAAAACATTGGAAAACCGAGAAAAACTGGGAAAATCGGTACAACAATAAACAGGTATTATTAAAAAATAAATATACAAAGCCTATTTAATTATTTTATTATAATATAACATACATTGTTGACAAAACATCACTATCAACTGAATTGCGCTCAGAATCGTTTTTTCGTTAGCAATGGTTTATCGTTTCTTACAGGTATACATTAAATTACCGATAATAGTGGCTGCACCCGTTCCCATTATCCTTAGACATCTTTCTTATTTATCACTCTGAATTGATGATGAGTGATAACTAGAGCACGGATATTGAAGTAGTAAAAAACTATTGAAATTGATGACAGTATTGCACTAAAAAATACTGAAAATTGCACTAAAAACCATCAATTTTTTACAAAAGTGGAAATAGTTTGCCTAATTTTCAGCATATTTACAAAAAAATAACAGTACTCGATCACTCGGTATAATCTGTTCATTATAACATTCAAACCGTCACATTTCACAAAATATTTTTGTATTGTATTTAATACCCACCAATTTTAAATTATCAAAATAAAAATATGTTACCATTATTAGATTTTATGGCTGGCAATATTATAGTGTAGTCTTATCGATACGATTTTCGAGTGTCAACTAAATGAATAAATTCAACAAAATTGCAATAAAATTTCAAAACATTTAACATAAAACTTCTAGATTTTAATTCGTACTTACATAAAACGTATTTAAAACTTACTTAGCAATAAATTGAAAAGGTAGAAAAAAAGTTGCAAATGCAACAACATCCGTACCCTAGTGATAACATTATTATTATTATAACGAATAATATGTTAACAGTTATTATATTGAATTCAATGCTCAAATGTCTCCCTTGCAATTATTCAACTTAACCCAACACGTAGGAGGCTTAACCCACCACACCTCTACACCAATTTTTAAACATAATTCAGTAGTTCATAATTTTCGAATCAAACACTACCTAATGCAGGCTAACTTTTGCTTACATAGTAAATACCATAGTAGATATTATTCATTTTCGATTCTAATATAATGGTTACTATATTATTATTCTATTATGATGATGTGTTTTTAATTTTCTATATGTGAACAACTTTTCTACCAGTATTCTTGCTCCAATTATCAACTTTAGAGGCCATAGTTCCTAGTAAAAATTGTCGTCTAGTTGGTGCAATAAGGAAGTTATTTTTCGGATTTCTTTATTTTTTATTTTAATTATGAGGAAACCTCGAGAAAAAACATCGGGAATACTTGTAGCTGTTACATTTACTGCTTTTGTTTTATTCTATTTTATTTATTCAATGAAAAATAATCGTAGAGGTCAGAAATTCCACTGAATACTTTTATAGGTATAGTCACTAATGTACAGCAGTTTTCAGACATAGTGCTTTTTATCCACCACTGCGTTCCATGAGTTCCACTTCAAACAAATAGTAAAAGTACGTTTACATCTCTGAAAAATTAGTTTAGATACTCCGTCCAGTTTACGGTAAGACATAGAGTAAAAATATATGCAGTAAGATTATAAAATGACGTCGAAGGTTAGGTTAGGTTATTATCGAAGGATAATGAGAACGAGTGCAGCCACTGTTATAGATAATTTGATGTGTACCTATAAGCAACAATAAAACATTTTTTACGAAAAATCGATTTTGAGTGGAGTTCAGTTGATAGTGATGCTATATTAACAATATATATGTCATATTAGATTGAAATAATTAAATAGACTACATAATTTCTTTAATGTTGAACCGATTTTCCCGGTTTTCCCGTGTTTTTCCCCGGCTTTTCACATTTGCTGGGAAAACACTTGGAAAAATCGAAAAATGGCTTCCCTAGAGGAACCTTCCCATACAGATTCCCTTTAAGAAATATTTTTATCATTTTAAATTGGAACAAAATTGTTGGATAGAATAGTTGTTCACAGAAAAAAAAAAATTCGTAATACATATTTTAGTAAAATATTTCGTACATTTTCTCGTTGTTTTTTTTTCACATTTAATGAGAAAACTTGAGAAAATCATTCACTCTGCTGAGAATCTAAAAATCACACCATAGTAAACCAATAGATCTCTCGTTATACTCCTAATCTAAAAAGTGTAACCATAATTTCAGGTATGATATCCATACAATACACTAAACGTCTAAAGGTTAAACCCGATTAAAGTAGTCATGTTTATAATATAGGTATAGAATTTTATATAATTACTTTAATGGATAATCCCTTGTCTTTTTGATTTGCCATAATAACTTCATGAGTTTCTTGCCGGCCATTTATGCTAATATATCAGCAATTCGTAATTAATTAGCCAAATAACTAGCTCGACTTAATTCAAATACTGTATAAACTTTTAATTCTTACTGTTTATTATATGATTAATAAATAAATATAAAACCGTTTATTGAGTAAGCAAAAAATGTATTTCCTTGACAACGCAATTTTGATCACAATTTATAATTTACCAGCTATTATAATGTATAACACAGTAGAAACTCGATTAATCGTTATGTCTCTGTTATCCGTCATAGATACCTGTCATCCATCTTCTCTTTGAACTATTTTGAAAGTCCAGTTTTAATTGATGAAGATCTATATTTGCTAGATCTGCTACTTCTTTTAAAACACCTTTTGTATTGAGTGAAAATTCTTAGGTACCATGAATTGAACATCAGCTATTAACTTCTTGTTAACTGAAAAACGCCCGTTTATTGTTTAAACGTTCTTTAATTTGATCTAATATAACTCAAAAAGTATTTATTCTGGATTTGTCTATAGGCAACTATAGTATTTCATCTTCATATATTCGTTTTTTCGAATATTTCTTACTATAGTAGTTTGTTCATATTTAATAATTAAATCATTAGGCAAATACATATCAATAAAGTGATCATTTATTTTTTTAGAAAAAGTTTCAGATTTTTTTTTTTATGCATAAAATTAATATTACCAATTTCTCGCTTCACCGTATTAATCATGTTCCAGGCTGTCAACAAATCCAATCTCTTCATCTGAAGGTACCGTGATGTAGGGTAATTAAGTTGCTTCCGAACATGTTTTAACATCAAAATATTTAGAAGCTGAGACAATATACAATGCATCAATGACGATTGGAATCCAAAATAAGGTTTTTTTTCACGTCACCACTCCCTTGTGTTATTTTCACCAATATTTTGTAATTTTTTATATTTATTTGATCCAATTTTTGAATCGTTTTGTTGTATCTATACATAGTATAATTTTGTAAGCAATTGTTGTTATTGTTGCACGCTAGAAAAATAGCTGTTGTCTCATCAAAGGCAAAAACTTGAACCATCGACCGGACGATAGTCAATTTTCCTTACTTTTCTATTTCATAACATTTATAAATTATAATCGGTTCCAATTCATTATTGTCAACTATTAATGCTAATATTACTGTGTTAACTGTCTATATTTTTCAAAGATCGGATTTTAGGTTTAGATTTTAAGCATTTAAAATTGTTTTTATAAGAATTAAATCTTTTGGAATTTGGATATTCAAAGTCCACTTTAAAAGGATTTGCTCAACTTTCTACGTCCAATATGGAAAAACCAATATATCTCTCGCATCATTCAGAATTTAAATATACTCTTTGGATAATCATACATACCTTTTATAGTAACTAATCCCCCTGTGTCATTTACAGTCCACAGGTATTTATTACTGAAGTCTTCAGACGTTAGTAAAATAAGACAAACTACACAAATAAGATTACCTAATGACTTACTTATCGCGTTGCAGATAGATGCATAGCCTGCGTTTCCTAGGAAATAAAATAACACATTTTAAGGCTTAAGTGCGTTAGAAAGATTAGGATAACCATTACTATTGAACAATAAATACTTGATACATTAAATATAACTTGACCTATGATAGTGCCATAGATTACTAAATTATGGAGTATAAAACAAACAAAAAAAAAAAAAACAAAAAATGGTAAATAAGAATAACAATAAGGAATGGTAAAACCCCGATTAATGAGACTGGAATCCATGCAACGGTGACGTGGCCCGGAACCAAATATCTTAATTCACGTCCGTGCATTCTTGGACGAACACGATGGCTTGGGGGCGGAACAGGAAAATGGCTCGTAAACTTGGCATGCAACGACGCGACGGTGCGAACAAGGCGTCGAAAGTTCCGACGGGAGACACGGCGGCTGGGCGACGGTACTGAGATAACTATGGAGCGAACGCTTACAACACCAACATGTAAAAAAAAAGACACAAAGCATATTTTTTTACTCGAAATTCCTTCCTTTTTTTGGTAGACAATAACGAGCGACGACGATAGTATTGTCGACACGGCGTCGGCAACCGCCACACACACGCGAGCGATTTTTTTATGCTACGCAACGTACGACGTTCTCGCTGTGTAAACCGGTATTGTGCCTACATTTTAAATTTTATGAAGTACGATAACATCGGCCGTAGATCACGGTTGACATTAGCGTATCACTATTGTTATCAACTTTCGGTGGCGGCGACGACGATAAAATGCACGCACTGACCGCGGCGTAAACAATAACTGAAAAAACCGCCAGTATGTTGTGAGAATTTGACCAAGTCTCGAAAGGTCTAATATAAGTATTCGATTAAAAGTCCATGTAGTTTCGTGGGGAATAAAATAACTGTTTATAAAACACATTACATAAAACGCTGTCGATGGAATTTATAATAACTTTAAAACGAATAACAAAATTGTGTTCTCATTTTATATTAAACACATACCTATAATAACGATTGTAAACTGTCTATTATCGACTAACTGCTAACCCTCATTCAAGTCTCTGGTGGTTGGTCGCAATGCTCACTGCTCGTACTGCTCTCACGATTAAAAATAAATCTAGTGTCTCGAACGTCTCAACCACTCGCGAAATATTATTGCAGATCACTTTGTCGAGAACACTGTATCGAACACATACAGTCACTACATTTTTTTCGTTCATCTCCCTCGAATAGTTTGCACCTAATTTAAACATTAACATTTGTTATCCGAGTGCACGCAGTTTCTAATTGTTAAGATTAATTTAGAATATTTTAATCGAGTTGTCACTGTCGTCCTACAATTCCAGGATAACGTGTAGACATCTACGATTGATAACCCTAGCGTTCCAACACCTTGGGCAGGAAAAAAAATTATACGTTCTATTTATTGGTATCGTCATTATTCTCGGAACATCATTAAACAAATATTATCAAAGAAAATATATAAAGCTTATTTAATTATTTTACTGGGTGCACAGAAATATGACAAAAAATATTAAGGTTTTAGAAAATAAAATTCATTAAAAGAATTTTAGACTGTGAAAATGTTATAAATTTGACAACTTTTATTGAAATTAGTTAAATTTTAATATATTAGTGGTAGGGTAAGGGTATTTATCGGGTTGGAATGAGTAAGTGGAAACTTAAATCGATGATTCAAGGTAAAAATACTTCGATGCACCACAAGCGGGGAAGGATAATAAAATATGAAAAATGGTATAAAAGAAGTTATTTTGTACGGTTTTTAATAATATAATTTTATATATTTTAGAGTAAAATTAATTGTTTTTAAGATTCGTTGAATTTATTATCACATTAAGTTAAAAAATTTAGCCTGGTTCCTACGAAAAAAATGTATTAATATTTACTTTCTTATTATCTTATTAATATCAAATCTAACAATTTACTGTTGATCTTTTTCTTTTTTTTTTCTTATTAGTGCTGAAGGAGCTGAGGGATTTATTATTAATAATAATAAATAAATATTTGTCTGCATAACCCACGTGTCAAAAATAGATATTGATTTTAAATTTCCTACCAATAAAAAACGACAGGAATTTATTATGAAATTATTTAAACCGATAGTTAAATAGAATTTAACTAGTCGTATTATTTACCTGAACAACTTGAACAGTGGTGAGCTCAGGAATTTTCAATGGGAGGGGATATAGCAAACAAGAATCTAAAATCGTTTTCTCTACTCGACTCAACTATGGAAATTAATAATTTAAAAAGCTGTAAAAAAACCAATTTTTTGTCAATACATCACGATTTTCCTCGCATTTTTTTCAAATGGGCAAATCTGGGCAATATTTTCAAATGCCTAGAGGCTTTATTATTTAAGCGATTTGAAGGTCTGTATAAATATGTTTAACAAGGTATATCTTACATATTAAATGGTAATATATACTTTACACGTTGATGAAGTCACACTTCCAATTAAGAGCTCCTACCTTTAATTTATATTCTTAAACTAAGTCGTATGGTTTCAGACGCGTACGGCGTCTAATGTATTTGGAGTTGTCTAATAATTGAATGGCCAGTGGATTGACATGGTGATCTAATCTTGTCTCGTGTTTGTGAGCAAACTTTTGGATTTCATCAGCTATTGTAGACAGCGTCATATCGCGGTGAATGACGTTGTTCCTTTCAAACCAGTAGGCTGCAGTGATGGTCCGAAGAGCAATTGCTCGCGCGGAATTTCCGTAAGCGACAGGTTAACGGAAAGTTTCCGGCTGCGACTGTGATAGGAAAAAAATGGGAGCAAGAATTTCTCTGGTAGAAAAGTTGTCCACAGAAAAAGAAAAAAAATAGACATATTTTTAAGACCATAATCTTCTTCGCTTCGCTGTATATTATAAACAACATTAACTAGTTTTTATAGAGACAATTGATAGACAATTCAAATATGTAGACATAACAAAGCAAGTAAACATTATTGCGGTGTTAATTAAATTAAATTAAATTTCCTTTTTGCGTATATAATATAAAAACTTGAAAATCAGTGTTTGGGACGTATAAAACCGTCGTCGTCGAAAAGTAGTAAAATAATATACTCGTTAATGTATTTTTTCGGTGTTCAAAAAGTTGGCGATATTGTTAAGCAGCTTGCGTACTGACAAAGGAGATATTACTATTAGTACTATGAAAATTGGCCCTTCTTCAATGCGCTTTCCCCGGCATTTATATCGTTTAATATTCGCCGATCTTTTCAAGTTCCCTCGGCTTTTATCGCCGTTATTTATCAACGACGCATAAAAGTCCAAAACAAACGGCGGTGGCCGTCATGTTGGCTAGCGGCCAAATAGATCGCAACTCGTCGTTACGTGCATTATAATATAGTATTTATTAGTGGTCAAATTTATTTTATTTTTGTTTTGTTTATTAAATGTTGATAGTATTTGTTTACCATCATAGCCCATCATCGGTATACAAAAGACTGAGATAGTTTGTTTTGCCGCCATATTCCCAAACGGCAATGTTTTCGTTATTATGGTGATAACGTTGTTTGATAGGAATAAAAATAACCATTGAGTATAGTTTAATATTGTGTATTTAATAATAATATAACTGTAATGTTTTTTATTTCCTAATATACCTACTAATTTATAGTAAATTGCAAGTACATTTTAAATGTATTATCTTAGCTTAGCTTTGACGATTGAAAAAAACCATAAACACACAAAAATGTACTATTATTATAACCTTATAGGTAGATTTTAGATTCTGATCGAAGCGAAGAGTACATTAGTTTTACAATGATGTTTATTTTTTAATTTATATAATTTTCATATACTATGTATACAATTTCTAAAATCTTGTTCCGTTTTTCAAGTGTAGCATCCTTCCTAAGAGGGAAATTTATCTAATTTATCTAATTAGTAATTTTTGATTTCCCAAAAGATTTTCATAATAATTGGGAAAATTTACGAAATTTGCCATTTGCAATTTTGTAATTTGTGATTCAATTAAAAATATTTGTTGAAAAATGAAATTTGGACAGAAAACTTATATTTGCCTTTTCTAGACGTGGTAAAATGTTCAAAAAATTTAAGTGATTATTGAGCTTATTTTATAAACATTTTAATACTGCGAATTTTTTACGTAATTTTTATTCGGTTTTTACTCTGTGTATAATATTGTTAGATCAAACGAAAATGCTTGGACATTGAACAGGAGGTTCATTATAAGCCGAACTTAATAGTCAACAATAAAAAATTGAGTTTAATGTAGTAGAATTTTAATAATAAATTTTGATGAAAATCGTAAACATTACGGTCATTTAAAAATATGTATTACCATATTTGGCTCAAAATAATTTTTCGTTAGCAGTGACTTCGTTAGCAGTAAATTGGCCTCAATTTCTGGTGGTGCAATGTTATATTCTAATTAGTAATTTTTAACTCATCAATATTCAAACTTCCTATCTAAATCTGTCCCACGGGCAAAGTGCAATAGATGCCAATAATATAATATTAATATTATTGGACGTTTGCATAGTCTTTGTATTAATATAAAATATAGCTGTCCCGCGCCCGTCGTTTCCCGTGCCAATTTTTATCAAATTTTATTTTTCCCATAGTCATTTTTTAGATTTGGCCGTGTCAGAATTGAATGAAAACAAATAGGTGGAAAGTTGGTAGTGCTCCTTAGGCGGACTAAATGCGTTTTACTATGACATTTTAATAGTGTAAATCATAATAGTTATAATAGTTTTCTTTTCGATAATGAATCAGTCAGTCAGTCAGTCAGTCAGGACATGTTATTTTATATATATATATAGAAGATTACATTGACATTGTGAAATTTCCAATCATCACGTTTGGAATTTGATGGTGCGAGTACTCCATTTCCACCACTCAGTTTAAATCACTGTTCGTAAGCAAAGATTAATCGTTGCGTACATTAAATTCCTCTCTACATCCTCTACTTCCCAATTTCTCACCTCAACAGTGGCCCATCCATCGTGCGAAATTCGCCCATTTTTGTTTTTTATTATAGTCTTTAAAGTCGTTACATTCTTTGAAAAGTATAAATTACAGTCAAAATAATAATTCAATACATAATAATAATTCAAGACCTAACCTAACCTTACGTACGAACCAAATAGAATACGAAATATGTTTCACCATTCACGACTCGGACAGTGAACGAAGAAATTTCATAACAAATATTGTTTTTGACATTTATTATAGGGTAGAACTGCAGGTCTCACGCATTATTACTTTGGGTCACGATCGGGCGACGTTCAAAATTATCGTAAAATATTTTATTAAATTTTGTTCACTAATAACCTGAACATTTTAACGATTTGCTTTGAATTCATTGTGTGAAAGATTTAAGATAAATATTAATTATTAATGTGATTTTATTAAAAGAATCGAGCTGCTATGAGACCTGAAAACCAGATTTCCGGGATATTTTTGATATTTCACGGCAAATCAAATGTATTCGCAAAATATTCGTCAATAAACGATTGATGATTGTTGTATCGATACTGAAATAAATCCTAATCGACTATAAATACGTACATCAAGTATTAATTGTTTTAATTTTTTATTGAAATTTTCTCATACAGGCTATTTTAGACAAACCCGATGTTGAGTCGTGGAGGGGAGCTGACGCAATGCCCAATAAAAAGATAGAATGGACGAAAAACAAAATAAAAGAAAAAAACGAAATCCCAAATCGCGTTGTATACATTACACGGGTAACGTTGGTTGACCGCGGCCATCTGACTCCCCCGGATCGTAAATTTAAAAAGAAAAATCCGAACAGAAATAATAATAATATCGTCGCTTAAGTCCGCTGCGAGTTTGACGCGTTCGCCTTCTGTGCAGTATACGGGGCCAGAGGGGGAGTAAAAGTTTTCTCTTCCGTACTGACGTTATTATTATTATAATATATTTGCAATAATAATACTGCGAGGACGGACCGGAAACCGTATAATGCCGTAATAACTTTGGTCCATTTTTTTTTTTATTTTTCCTACATATACACATATGATATTATAATATACCCTACTCGGCTCGGTGCAGCGGCCTTCTTTGCCGAGGGGACCCGGCGCCTACGACATACATACAAACAAACATATATACATTAATACTTTCAAACACACACACGTGTATATGTATATATATTATAACGACCGCAAAAACTTTTCGGATCCGAGACGAATTACCAAATCTGCACGGGGAAAACTTCTAATGGCTTCTTATTCGTTCGTACACTATAATAATAATATCCACGTACATATTATATTATTATTGTACGTGTGCGGTGTATACGAACGGGGTTACGCGTCTTTTTTGGCGACTCCGGGGTTGCGGTCGTCGTTGCCGTTGCACAAAAGGTACCGTAACACACGCGAAAACTGACAGGGAAGTCCGCGTGGAAATTATCGCGAGGGTTCTACCGTGGTTGCGGTACACTCGGTGACCCGCATAATTTTTTATTTAAGTCGGGCGCCCTGTAGCGGACGACATTTTCAATGGTACTCTCAAAAATCAAATCCATCAGTTCCGAATTTAAATGGACCTAGTCGTTTCTATAGTATTATTTGTCTTGTCCAAATCCACTTTAGATGTAATTTTTATATTTTGATCGAAAATAAATTCGCAGTAGGCTTTTCTTTAACACATTAAATGTTGTTGCTTTTTGATTGTGATATTGATTTATTAGAAAATGGATGGAGCGTCCCGCACATTCTGTCTATGTTGCCGCGAGCCAAAAAGAATGAGAAATTTTGCAATATCATAAGGCGGGGGCTAGGTTTTTAACCATACGGGGCTCATTTTAAAAAAAATTTAAAAAGCTGATACTGAGGATGGGTGTGCCTTCCAACCTACAATAGTGGCACCACTATTGTAGGTTGGAAGGTAGGATACATAGTTATTTAATGAATACTTGAAATCAACGATAAACCATTGCTAACAAAAAGCGAATCGGAACGAAGTTCGGTTATTTATATGTTGAAAGGCCATAATAATTCGATGCCCGAAACGAAGAAAGATGTAACTCACTTTTTATCATTTTTCAAGTGAGCAGTTTAAAGGTTTCTAAGTTGAATTCTTATTCTGCATTTCAATTAAATAATATTTTGTTTTTTTTTTAATACTTAGATTTTATACTTTTACAGTATAAGATGGGAAATTGCTATATTAAAAAAAAAAAACCTTTCTGAAACCGACTTTAAGTCATATTTTGCTATTTTATTTGACTTACGTTCTTTTTCGACGGGAAAAAATTAATTATATGGAAAGGAAAAATGTATAATATTATAAACAAACGAGTTTTTTTAATATTCTAAATTGAATTGTGAAATCAATAAAAATAAATAGAACTTATGTTTTATGATAAGTTGAGAAAATTTACGAAATTTATTATTTTCAATTTTGTTTTTTTGTAATTCAATTAAAAATGTTTGTAGAGCTTTGAAATTTGGACAGCAAAATCTATATTTGCCTTTCTAAGACATTGTTAGGAACCCCTTAGTTACAGGTTTATAGTGTATGCGTATATTATAATATTATACTACAATAGGATATGATTGTAGTCTGTCGATAACGCCTAGTGTGTAGGTGGCTCCAGGAATATTGTACCGACACGGTACCCGCGTGTTAGC